CGACGATCATCTCAAGAAGTATCAGGAGCGCCTGCGCTCCATCAATCCGCCTTGCGTGCCCTTCTTTGGTCGTTACCTGACCAACATCCTGCACTTGGAGGAGGGCAATCCGGATCTGCTGGCCAACACGGAGCTAATAAATTTCTCGAAGCGGCGGAAAGTGGCCGAGATAATCGGCGAAATCCAGCAGTACCAGAACCAGCCCTACTGCCTCAACGAGGAGGCCACCATACGGCAGTTCTTCGAGCAGCTCGATCCCTTCAACGGCCTCTCCGACAAGGAGATGTCCGACTATCTCTACAATGAGAGCATGCGCATCGAGCCGCGTGGCTGCAAGACGGTGCCCAAGTTTGTGAGTATATCAAGCATAGAGGCCTCGAAATGCATCGACAGACTAAATCCCTTCGTTTTGATTTCACATTTCAGCCTCGCAAATGGCCACACATTCCGCTTAAGTCGCCGGGCATTAAGCCGCGTCGCCAGAACCAGAACAATAACAGCAGTAAGTTATCCAGCAACGCTTCATCGGCAGCGGCAGCAGCGGCGGCAGCCTCGTCGGCGGCATCAACGGTAGCAGCAGCAGCCGCAACAGCAGCTGTGCCCCTAACACAGCCAGCGAACGTGGAAGCGCCACCGAGTGGAGCATCCATACCTAGCGCTGGTGCTGGCGAGCAGAGTCCGCAGCACAATCCGCACGCTTTCTCCGTGTTCGCCTCCGTCATCCTACCAGATCGGAATGGGAGCACTTGGAGCGGAACACCACTGCATCATCGGACAACAGCGGAGAACAATGAGGAGGTCGTGGTGCCGGCGCCACATCTGCCCAAGAAGCCAGCTGCGCATGTGTGGACCAACAATGTGGCCATGATGAATGCCACGGCAACGGCGATGGATGTTTTTAGTCCAGTACTGACAGATCACCATGCGCTGCCCCCACAATCGCTGCCAGACAGCAACCCTTTTGCAGTGAGCGCAGACTCAGATGCCCTGCCCTCGCCGCTGCCCAAGCTGATGGTTAGTCCTCGCCACGAGACCGGCAATCGGTCACCATTCCATGGGCGGATGCAATACAGTCCCACGCATAGCATTGCCAGCACGGTGACTCTAACTGGAGCCGTAGCTGGTGGAGATCTCAGCCCGCAGATGGGTGGATTCTACTACAACAACGCCCACCAGGGCCAGACAGGGGCAGTGCCCATCTCGCCGCATGTCAATGTTCCAACGGCCTCGATTCTGGACTATCGAGCAGTGCCCCCACCACTGCCGCCACGTCGCAAAGAGCGTACGGAAAGCTGTGCCGATATGGCCCAGAAGCGGCAGGCACCTGACGCTCCCACTGTGAGTACTCCATCCCACATCCACAAGAAATTACTCCAAATCGTCGCATTCATAACGCATTGTTCCCTTTGCAGTTACCCCCGCGCGATGGCGAGCTGAGTCCTCCTCCCATACCGCCCCGACTCAACCATTCCACGGGCACTATATCCGTACGACACAGCCATGGCCAGAGCAAGGAGTTCGCAAGTTCGTGCAAGAGCAGCCTACTCCTGCCCAACACAAGCAGTATTATGATACGCCGCAACTCGGCGATCGAGAAGCGGGCAGCAGCGGCTGCACAGCAGCCAGCTCCGACTGCAGTGGCGACTGCTGCTGCCCTGGCGGGGTCGGTCATGGGGTCCATTAATACCACGTTGGTCACAGTGTCACAGTCAGTCGCGACTGAAGAGCAGCCGCCGCAATCGATCTCGCCAGCACTGAGCTCCTCGACAACTACATCACCGCTGACACCCGCAACTCCCATCTCCCCGAACATTCCCAGCCATCCAGCGGAGAGTATGTCAAGCGGTTGTACGCACCAGCTTCGTTTCAGGCCTCAGCAACAGCAGCAGCAGTCACAGCAAGCAATGTCGCATCCAGCGGCGTATGCACAGCACCATCATACCCACCACATTCACCATCCACCCCACCATCATCAACAGCATCACCAACATCAGCAGCATCATCAACAGCATCAAAATCATCATCAACAGCATGCAAATCAATCACACACACGCTCGTCCCCAAAGGAATTTCTTTTTGCCACGAGCCTCGAGGGCACACCCAAACTTCCACCAAAACCTAGTCTAAGCGCTAACTTCTATAACAATCCAGGTTAGTTTTGCTCAATTTTCATTCCACTCAATCGAATATAATTCGAATTGCATTCCACACAGATAAAGGTACGATGTTTCTTTACCCAAGTACAAACCAAGAATAATATAATTGCCTGGCGATGTGATAGGACAAACGAAACTGCGATCCGATCATAGTAGAGCATGCTGCAGATATGCAGACACATACATCCATACATACTCGTACATACATTTATAAGTACTACTCTACATACATACATATATGCATGAAACGCGAGATATTTACAGTACGTTTCGACTGTATGTAGAATGTACGATTTGTAGGTACTATTTCTAGTGCATAAATATGTATGCTAAAATGGACCGAGTTGGATCTGATGATTGCTATTATTCGAATCTTAATAAACACACAACCACCCACGACCCACCACTCGCTGACACGCAGACACTCAGTCACGTCACACACCCAATAAACGAAAAATGCAAATACCGAAATTATGTTATTATATAATTATTATTATAAATATTTGTAAATATCGAGAACATTGTATTGATCGTAGAACGTAAACAAAATAAATCATAACACTATTGTTAGACAGTTGGACGATGTTTTTAACTGATTCACATTATCCCCTTTACCCCTTACCAAATTGATCCCATCCCTAACATTTCCCACAAGTTGTATCATCCCCACATACATACAAATATGTATGTCTATACATATGTATGTGTCGATGTCCTTCCGTATTTAATTGGAATAGTCAGTCTTCATTTCTAAAAACAAGTTCCAAAAATTATCCATAAATTTATGTATTTCCTATTTCTCAATTACCTCTGGCTCAATCCCAAACTAAACAACTAAAACGTAACAATATATTTGAGTCCGATGAGATTATAGGGTCTGTTAAATTCATCATCTTTAGGAGAGGTTTAGAATAAGTCCAAAAGTATTATTTTGTCGAATTATATGTATTATTTGGTTTATTAGACACTTCCAATGAACTTGGAGTGGGGGAAAAGCATCACACAGAATCTTAACCCAACTGCAGCAACCTGAACCCAGGGTCAATAGCTACTTCTGCATACGTTTCATTTGATGTAGTATTTCCAAGGCTATCTTGCCACCTATGTATCTTGTTTAACTTTCCACTTTCAAAGACTTCTCCGAAGCATTCGTTATAGTAGGGCCGATGACCTTGAGCGAACCACAGAACGAATCAGAAATAGATGGCATCCAGCATAATCATCACCACCATTAAGATACATTGCTTGTTAACTTGGGTTGGAAAGAAAACCCAGGGGAGTCTCGATTGGTGAACTAAAGCGATTGTAGAAATGAGCTAATTGTTTGCTCGGTGCATTCTGTGCCATTAAGTTACACATGAAAACACAAAGTATGTATTTCCTTTCGCTTTTCAAACGTCGCGACGTCATCAAAGCACTGAGCACTGAGAAACGCTTCCTGAATTTTTGTGATGATTGCTATAACATGTTTTTGCAATCGAATTATTTTTGTATTTTATCAAAGCTCTCCAGCGCGTAACTCAATACTGGCCAGCGTGCCAGTCAAGCCCTCGTGTCGCTTGCAAGACGAGTTATTAAAGGAGGGATCAGGGATGGTTACATAAACAGTCGTTATTCCAAAAAACTCCCCCAGATGCCCTCTCAGAACGATGCGTCACATAACCGAAATTATTGAGAGTTTTTGGTAAAGTAAAGTACCGAAGATTTTACAGATCGGATCGGATCAGAATGTTGTTGTCAAGGTGAATAAACCATTGGGGAGAAAAACGTCATCATTTCGTTGCAGGAATGTCAGAGAAAATCCCATTTGTTGAGCAGTTCTTCAAACGAAAAATTGTATATATCTCATATACTCGTGTGTCGCATTGCAATATATCATTGCAGGCATTTGGGAATTTTCCGCTGAATGTGCGCCTTTATTTTTAAAGAATTATAGTCAAGGCCATTGCCCGATATCAGTTATGGGACTTTCTACGGGGGTGGAGTGGGGTGATTAAACGGATATTCTGGTAATGCTCTTTCGCTTTTCTTCAAACTTGACCAACATCTTAATGGCATTCATCAGATGGTAGGCGACCTACACCAAGCAATTTTCACGTATACCATACCTCTCATTTTCTTCGATACTCGTATTATCACGTGTCAGCTGTGCAATTTACACAACGACCCATCCAAGCTCCATTCATCCAAGCTGCAATTGCCTAAAGAATTATTCAATTAATTTGCATTTAATTCATCTGATGGCCGCTAATGAGGGAGAAACTCAGCAACAGCAATCAAAGCAGCAACCGCAACAAGTGCACTGGGGATGATGTAGGAGGAGGAGGAGGACGAGGTGGCTGCATCTCATAATCATCGAATGCAATTACTCGTACACACATTGTGCATAGCATAATTGTATTACATGAGCATATCAATTAGTGAAGCCAAGCAAAGTGGACAAAAATTACAATTACAACCTCTAGCGAGAACTCGGAATTCAGCGAATTACGATCTCTACCGTGAGTTCTAAATTCCGACAATTGAATTATGGAGAAGGGGGAAGGCCAGGCCAGGCCAGGCCAGGGAAGCGCCCCAAATGGGAACACATGCCACAATCATTATCGACACATTATTTGCTTCCCTCAGGAACAATCACCCGAATCCCGAACGCAGCAGGCACCTCTGCTGTGGTGGTACTGAATCAGATCGGTTGGCATTGTCTTTATGGTAGGCAGCGATCGGCTCGGCTCGCATTCGGAATCTGTCTGGGACTGGGGAAGTCGCGAGCTTTTATAAAAGCGGCTACAACAGCACAAGTTCATTCAGTGTTCAGTGAGAATCATTGTCAAGTGCAAGCAACAGCAGCAGCAGCAGCAGCAACAGCAACAGCAACAGAAGGCGGATCGGAGTGGGAACAAAACATAGTATTAGCAGAAGCATCAAAAAGAGTCGGAACGACAGCATTAGCCAAGTGGATTCACAGTGTGCACATTAGCCATCCGACACATAGACAGATTGCCAACAAAATGCTGGCCAGTGAGACTTTTCCCGCACATCACTTCAAGGAATCTATATTTAAGCCTTACAGCACGAGTGGCTCGGCCAGCGTCGACGATTTGGCAAGCGCTAACAAAACATTGACATCCGCGGCGACCACGTCGTCATCGCCTGATACTCATGCAGCCATTGACATCGCTCCCACTGCATCCTCAGTCGAGTTTGACACTGCCCGCAAAATGTTGACCAACAACAGCAGCAGTAGCAGCAGCAATAACATTAACAATAACAATAACGATACCAAGGATGATATGTTCGGTTTTTTGGCCAGCCATCCGGCAGCCCCGTTCGAGGGCTTCATCCGGGCCTGCGTGGACGAGATTATCAAGCTGGCCGTCTTCCAGGGAACCAACCGATCCACCAAAGTCGTGGAGTGGCACGAGCCCGCCGAGCTTCGCCAGCTCTTCGACTTTCAGCTGCGTGACAAAGGGGAGCCGCAGGAGAAGCTGCGAGAGCTTCTGCGCGAGACCATACGGTTCTCGGTGAAGACCGGGCATCCGTACTTCATAAATCAGCTGTACTCGGGCGTGGACCCCTACGCCCTGGTGGGCCAGTGGCTCACCGACGCCCTTAACCCCAGTGTCTACACGTACGAGGTGGCGCCCCTGTTCACGCTGATGGAGGAGCAGGTGTTGGCCGAGATGCGTCGCATTGTGGGCTTCCCCAATGGCGGCCAGGGCGACGGCATCTTCTGTCCTGGCGGTTCGATAGCCAACGGTTATGCAATCAGCTGTGCGCGCTACAAACACGCGCCCGAGTCCAAGGTGAGTACACCTCCAACTGCCTGCCCCATCGTCCCATCTCATCTCGCAACTCGCCTCGCCGCACACAAGTGGTTTCCCCTCTGCTGCTCGATGCGAAGCAACACGGAAACACGAGTGCACACTTCTCTGCTCTGGCCTAGTGCCACCCGTTAATGGCAACAACTAGTACAGTGGTGGCCAAATTGTTAGTCGGGCGTGGTAGGGTATGAGGCACGATGCATGATGCAAGGAAGTGAAACCGAAAGTGTTCCTTATATGTCATTTTCCCGCCTTTTAGATGCAAAACAAATTATATTTGGAATATAATCTTTAGATTTGGCAACATGTTTTTTTAATTTAATTTCAAAGACTTGAAGAGTGGTTACAAAAAATTAATTGAGGCAAATATTAATTCTTTAAGTGAAGTTAATATTTAACTTATCTTAATATCCATCATTATTATAAAGAGATATAAAGAGATATTTTATGCTTTCTACATAATTTAGACATTTTCAAGCGTTTCCTTGTTTTTACAGACCATAGATAGTGATTCAAAACATTTAAAAAATATTATTTTTTCGCCTTCATGGCATTATGGAATAATTATAAAGAATTCTTACATTATTTAAAGTTTTTCAGATTCGTTCATTTAATTTCCCAGACCATAGACAGGGATACAACAAATTTAAAAAATATTTTTACGACTTCATATCACTACGAGTTTAGGTACTTAATAATTATAAAAAGATATTTTATGCTTTCCACATAATTAAGAAATTTTCGAACGTTGCTTGGTTTTTCCAGACGTTAGACAGTGATACAAAAAATTTAAAAAATATTATTCTTTCGCCTTCATGGCGTTATTATAAAGAATTCTTACATTATTTAAAGTTTTTCAAATTCGTTCATTTAATTTCCCAGACCATTGACAGGGATACAAAAAATTTAAAAAATATTTTTACGCCTTCATATCACTACGAGTTTAGGTACTTAATAATTATAAAGAGATATTTTATGCTTTCCACATAATTTAGACATTTTCAAACAACAAATTTAAAAAATCATATCCTTACGCCTTCAGATAACTAGGGAAGTAATACTGAATAGTTATCAAGAGATCATTTAGTGATTTTCAAATATCTACATGTCCTTGATTTCTCATAGATCTTAGACAGAGATACAAAAAAAATGTTTAAATATTTTTACACCTCCATAGCACTACGAGTATTAGAGGTTTCAAATAAGCTTCCGTGATTTATCCTATATCTTAAACAGGGATACAACAAATTATAAAAATACTATTCTTACGTCTTCATAGCACTATGAGTATTGCTGCATAATTATAAAGCGGTCTTATTTGCTATCCATAACGTACGGATTTTTCCCTAGCTTATTCTTCAGAAATTCAGTTTAGTCATCCAGAGATTCCACAACATAATGATTTTGATTTATATCCAGAAAAAGGGACTCTTCAGTGCCAAACCTTTGATTATATTCACATCGGAGGATGCGCACTATTCGGTGGAGAAATTGGCCATGTTCATGGGCTTCGGAAGCGAGCATGTGGTCAAGATAGCGACCAATGAGGTGGGAAAGATGCGTCTCAGCGATCTGGAGGAGCAGATTCGGCGGTGCCTGGACAATGGCTGGCAGCCCCTGATGGTCTCGGCAACGGCCGGCACCACAGTGCTGGGCGCCTTTGATGACTTGACAGGGATAGGCGACCTGTGCAAGAAGCACAACATGTGGATGCACGTAGATGCGGCATGGGGAGGCGGTGCGCTGATGTCCAAAAAGTATCGGCATCTGCTTAACGGCATCGAACGGTGAGTTTTTCCCGAAGAATGCGTCGCACGAACAGGTTTTGTTTGACGTGTGGTTCACTCGTTTGCAGGGCTGATTCGGTGACGTGGAACCCTCACAAGTTGTTGGCCGCCTCGCAGCAGTGCTCCACCTTCCTGACCCGCCACCAGCTGGTCCTGGGCCAGTGCCACTCGACCAATGCGGCGTACCTCTTCCAGAAGGACAAGTTCTACGACACCTCCTACGACACTGGGGACAAGCACATCCAGTGCGGACGCAGGGCGGACGTCTTCAAGTTTTGGTTCATGTGGAAGGCCAAGGGCAGCATGGGCCTGGAAGCCCACGTGGAGAAGGTCTTTCAGATGGCCGAGTTCTTCACCGCCAAGGTACGAGAGCGGCCCGGCTTCGAGTTGGTTCTGGAGAATCCCGAGTGCACAAACATAAGCTTCTGGTACGTGCCCCCCAGCCTCCGTCAGATGGAGCGGAATCGGGAGTTTTACGACAAGTTGCACAAGGTGGCGCCCAAGGTCAAGGAGAGAATGATTAAGAAGGGCTCCATGATGATCACATATCAGCCCCTGCGCCAGCTGCCCAACTTCTTCCGCCTGGTGCTGCAGAACTCGTGTCTGGAGGAGTCGGACATGATCTACTTCCTCGACGAGATCGAGTCTCTGGCTCAGAACTTGTAGTTGCGAGCAGGAGATAAATTAAGAGCTGAAGCCGAAGCTGGTTATGTGTTTAAGTGTTGACAAACATTCTCTCTAGGCATATGCCGTACATGTATGTAAATTGAAAGTCTCGTAGCATTTCCTTTGCTACATTTGCTTACAAATAATATTGGATATTAAGTATTACCTAAAAACAAAAATACATAGAATATTTATAGGTCATTTGATTTAGATTGAACAGAGGGAATATTTTTAACATAACTAAAGTTATGTTAGACAAGATCAAGATCAAGAACAATCAACGAATGTTATATTCGTAATGCTTCCTGTCCATTGGGAAACAATTCCAGAGAGTCGACAGCATAAAATATTCAAATATTCAAAATATTCAATAGGCCACTACTCACCTTAAAGCTATTCGTAATTCTGTATTTAATTGGTAGAAGATTTCGTTTTTCGGCTAGGCCCACTTTTTTTCCTAATTCTGGAGAATGCCACCTCTTAAGTGGACACTCAACTTATTGTTTGTGTTAATGTGTACCCGGAAAATATGTTCGGAGGCGCTCTCTAGGTAGCGCACGTCTTTTCCTTTGCGTTGCTGGAGCCGTTCCAAGAGCCGGTCCCGCAGCTCAATTGGTAGGCGACGCCATGGCGTGTTCACACGCCATTCCAGCGGAGCCACTACCCAATCATCCTTGTAATAAGATCCGGCTGGTGCTGCCATGGCAGACACATTCTTCAGGCCGCTGCGAGGCATGGGTGGCGCTGGCTCCTTGTTTTCATTCATCCGATTGTGGTCTAGGCCGGGTTTCAGGGTTTCTTGGTTTGAATCAAATTTTAGCGAAACTCCGCCCACCTGGATCTTTGCATCGCTTCGGCATAGGAAGTCCATGCCCAGAATGGCATCCTGTTTCGAGGATGGCAGCACTAGTACGAGCAGGTTTATCTGTTGTCCGCCCAGTTGGACATTGGCCATCAATGCCTGCGTCACAATTAAGTGTGATCTATCCGGCAGGCCTATACGCATATTTACATTCCTGCGGTTCTGTTCAGTGCACAGCTCTTGGGCAACTCGATCGCTAATAATGGTACGGGTGGATCCAGTGTCCAGCAGGGCTAATATAGAGTGATCTTCCATTAAAACTTGTGCATAGACTCGCCCACCAATCAAGCTCAGCCCCGTGTTCCGTTCGTCAGAGAACCTGAATCGTTCCTTGAGTGGTGCCCTGCTGAAGCATTTCAAGAACTTGGATCGGAAAGTTGTCCAGGATGCTCCTTGGATGCCGCTGGTCCAAAACCAATGCTCGGCTTTTCCAGCCAATAGTACGACTATCGATTTGGATAGGTTTCGCGTATCAACGCCGTATTTAGCTGCACATTCCTCTACGTGTTTGATGAAGTTCAAAGCATCGGATTTTCCGTTGAAGACGTTGCCCCATTTAATCATAATCCGCGACAAAACTGCAAACGAAGGCTTCTCGCTGAGCACCGCTGCAGGCAATAGTTTTGCGCCCCCAGTGAAATCGTCCATGGCGGCACCGGGCACTCCCAAGCTCCGGTCACAATCGGCCTCAGAGATCAGCAGACCTGGCTTCCGATTAAGGTTATCTACTGCTCCATAGTGTGCTTTTAGATGAGTCAACCGCTTTCCATTGGCCTTCGAATGTTCAGCCCGGCCAACAAAATCTGCCAGCCGGCTGCGCAGTTCTACGATGTTTCCGTCACATTTCAACAGAAACTCGGCGCAAAGCTCTTCTAGTTCGGCCTTGCTACGGTACAACAACCACTTCACGCCCATTTTTGAGTTTTCTTTTAATCTCTTTACACACAGGACGAATTTTATGCCGTCGCGCCAACAAAAATGACGCGCAGTGTGACCGGACTTTTCGATAAAATACCGAGGAAAACACCTTGAGTTAATAGCCATATGACATTAGACTTAGACAATATTGCTGCGTAGAAAGGGATAGCACTAGAGACATAATGCAACATTATTGTTCATAGCCGTCTATAGACACGTCTAATGGCTTTTAGTAGAACAACTGAGGCACTACTAGACACACAATGATGTTTTCCAGCAGAACATTTTCGATAAATTCTGCCGCAGTGCTGCTCCCAGCTGAACTGGACAGCCAGCTTCACGCATATAGTTCTCTCGCTCTGACTGCTGGCATTTCCCATAAGGCCATTTTATTTTTCCAGCTAGTCAGTTAGCAAAGTCTAATGTCATATGGCCATAAACCACTGAAAATAATACGGTTTTAAAATGTTCCTTGTAGCTCTATCCTTCCTCTTTACTTATGGTGTTATGACATTAGACGTAGCTAGCTGACTAGCTGCAAAATAGAGGTAGCGGTGTGGGAAATACCTGCGCTCAGGTTTCATACGAATATATTGTTTTTGGGAAATTGAATATATTTACATATGTTAAATACCTTAAAAATGTAACTCAACAAAAGATTCCGAAATGAATATAAAAAAGCCTAATGCTTACTCATAGGATTCGCAATTTTATTAAACGATCGAGGGAGCTTGCCCCTTTCTGGTTGAAATGCGAAATTAATCTAAGCTTTTGAGAAAGCTTTTGATCGGTGTTATTTACATTTTATATTAGTCATCTTTGGAATTTGTTTTAGTAACAAATTTTTTTTTTTAGAATGGCTCTTCTGTTATGAAAGATTAAATGAAAATGTAATTAAATAGCAGAATTAACTAATTATTACCGAAATTAATTGCAGGAACTGTGATCCTGAATTCAACAGAAAACATTGACTTTGGGTGCAGCGTTTGGGCGGACTAAACTACTGCTGGTGTTATCATTTCTGCTGCTTGATCCATGGCCATTGACTCACATCACTGCCACCGGCCTTGTCGATCGCCTCGGTTATGCTTAAGCTCTGACCCGGTTGGATGCCATACCCGATGCGCAGTCCATGCGGATTCGAAGGGGTTTGGCAGTCCATGGTGCACTCCTTGCGGAGCACCGTGTCCACCTCCACCGAGGAGAAGAAGGCCACGGACATAGGCAGGTCGCTCAGGCCGATGCGGGACACACAGTAGGAGCGAGTGAGCAGGTTGGTGATGTGCATGGCCAGGGCCGCCTTGGCAGCCATGTCCTCCTGCACCAGATATCGCAGCTCGTCGTGGAAGCTGAGGCAGAAGCGGACGTGCGGCCCCATCAGCCAGCGCATGCTGACCAGCATCAGGTGGAGGAAGTCGACGGCACCACTCTGCACCACCCAATTGATGCGGGTGGGCAGAAAGCGTTGCTCCTGCTCTGGTCCGCCATCCGACTCCAGGGCACGGCTGAGCCGACCGCCAAGAAAGGGAGTTTTTGGCTGCGCTTGCGTGGCTATTTCCTCCAGGCGATTGAACATGGCACTCTCTGTGCCCCCCTGCCAGTTTGGTCGGTGGAAGACCTCGCCCAAGGTGCGATTCCGCTGCAGGGCCAAACGAGAGGCTTCATAGCTGCTGTATCTAGGGAAGGAAACTGTCAGGCTGGAGCACCGTCGGTTCAATGAGATTACATAGATTACTCACGCTCTGTCCTCCAATTCGTCGTGGAACTCTTCGCGGAGACGATACACCCGCTTGCCCTTGGTGATGGCGAACATCTTCATGGCCTTGGCCTTGGCCTCCGATGCACTGAAAGTGGGGTTGAACTGACGGAGCAATGTCTCGGCAAACTGCTGACCAGCTCCATAGATCCTCGCATAGTTGATTACTTTGGCGTGGTCACGGGAGATGCCCACGGCCTTCGCGGTGATGGAGTGCATGTCGCTGCCGTTCGCTTTGCTGCCGCTCAGCGTCATCCAGCCCAAGGGTGTGGCTCCGTGATGGCCGCAGGCGTAGGCATCGCCCAGAACAGAGGCAATCCAAAGCTCCTGGGAGTCAACATCGGCGCCCACCAGCCTGTAGCCCGGTGGGGCCTGCACCATTGAACGCAGCTCCGATCCCAGGCGATTCGGACGCGAATTGGAGGCCGTCATCCAGGTGGGCTCCATGGCACGGCGCGTAAGAGTCCCACAGGCAACCACCTGGGGACAAATAGCGCCGTAGGACTGGCCACCAATCCCCCCACCTGTGAGCTCTGACGGGAGGTGCTCCTTCTCCAGCCAGACCACCATTTGGCCCATGATGCGATCTCGGTTGTTGCGCCAGTAGGACATCATGCGGGCAATGTCGATGACTCGCGCCGCAGCCTGGCACAAGGGATCGCCGCTGCTGAGCACATTCTCCGAGAACTTGTTGAGGAAATCCTTGGACAGTGGGCTGCCCACTCGAAACGAAGGTCCGTTCTTGTGCGGCAGCTTCAGAAAGAAGCAGCAATCGTCCAGCACCTGGTTGCACCACACACCAGAGCCTAAAAATCGCACAGAAATATCGTTTCTTATCAAACATTCAGATGTTTAGCTTCAGACGCACCTTGGTACTGGGTTTCCAGGCGCTGCTGCTTCTGAGAGAGCTTCTTGTAGTGCTGCCTCTTTGCCAGGTGTTCCTCCAGCTGTCCCGGCAGCATGGCGAACGCCAGATCACTCTCCTCCTGGGAGGCACACTGCCGCGCAAACTCCGGCACGGCACAGCGGGCGAGCAGCTGTTTAATTGGGATTCGCTCCACTCCCGCTGCATCGTTGCGAAAGGGAACCAGAAAGCCCCAGCCGTGCTCCCGCTGGTAGTGCAGGGGATATCCCTCCCAGCAGAGCGAGAGCAGCTTTGGGGAAATCTGCATGCCTGTGCTGATCTCGCTGGCGCCTGGCGTCCACTGATCGTCCTCCTGCTCTGCGTCGTCCGCCTTGTGGCCAGTGGGAGGCTTTCGGCACAGTTTTCGGTACCATTGGGGATATCCTGGAAGCAGGGGACGTCGAGCCGGTAGCAAGGACCGCTGATCGTAGAGGTGCTGGAACTTGGCATAGAGGCGCATCTGCTCACTGGACAGGTCAGACTCCTCGCGCTCCGCTTTCGGCAAAGGCTTGCGCTTGGGAGGCTGTTTCAGTTTCAGCTGCTGCACTCCCCAGTCCTCGTCCCAGAGCCAGAGATTGCCGCGATACTGCTCGTCGTAGAGCAGGGAGCACGCCTCTTCGGCCCGACGGCCCAAGTGGTACTTGGCCTCGATGCTGAGATCTTCGTAGGTCAGCTGGGCCTCGCGTATGTACCGCTCCCAGTTCGAGTTGACCGGCAGGTAGGCAGAGCCCATCTCCAGCATTCCCGCCAATGAGGCGGGGTGCGGAAAGCGGTCGCCAAACATGGGATAGAGCACCCGCAGCACGCGGTGCGTGGCCTCCACATCTCCGGCGCAGTAGTTGACGAGTGACTGAAAGTTGGTTCGCACCTGATCAAGCGTGCCCTGTACGAAAATATTCCGTGGCTCCTTGGAGAGCGCCTGCCCACCGCAGTAGAGACGGTGCACCTCGAGCAGACTGTTCAGGGAGCTCTGCTCCAGCCAGCCGAGATCCTCGGGAGCCGGCTCCTTCTTGGATTTGAGCATAGCCCGCTGATAGCTGGTCACCCCACTGACGCACATGTGCAGCGACATGGTGTCAACAAAGCGCGTGCCACAGTCCTCGATCAGGTACTGCTCTCTCAGTCTCGCTCTGTCGTAGGAAACGTTGTGGCCCACCACCAGACTGGGTCCAATGGTTCCCAGGGGTATGAGCTCTTCCAGAGTATAGTGCGGCCGCTCAAAGTCCGCGCCCACATCACAGGATTCCACTTTTTCCACGGCCAAACGATGTTTGGTTAGTTTCGGACTGACCCAGCAGTACCATCTTTTCGTGCTGACGGCGGTGGCCAGAATCGGGGCTTGGCCGGCAGAGACGCACACCTCCACATCGAAGACGAGACCCTTTTCCATGGGCTGCTTGACGGGTGTGGCTGTGCCATCGTTTGGGTCGTATGCTGTCCAGCCGGCAAGAAACGCCCAGCGTTTCGGCTTCGAAGGCAGCTCGCTGCACTGCACCAGGGGCAGCAAGAGCTCCTCATAAGGTTCCACCTGCTCCTTGGCTATGCTGTGGAAGTGCTCTTCGATGTTTTGTCCCTGCAAGGCCGGCAACTTTAGCTGTACATCCGGCACAGGCGAGCTGCTCTCAATATCGACTCCATGGCGGCGCAAGTCCTCCTTGTACTGCCTGGCTGCGGCTATCTGCTCCTCCGAGGTGTGGCGAGGTGTTTCGGGGAATATTTGCCTGTGCAAGTTCTGCGAGATCATCTGAACCTTGACGAGGTTCTCCGAGTATTCGCCATCGCCTGATACTTCCACACTCGCGTTTTGTGGATGCTGTTTGGCTTTGGCGGCTTTTTGTGGCAGGGGTTTCACCTTGCGATATATTTTGACGGTGCTGCTGGCATAGTGTTCGCGTCTGGGCTTGCTGGCATAGGAACGTATCAGGCGGAGTTGCATTATAAATCAGAGCTGCAATAAACATAATTAAGCGCAAAAAAAAAACAAAACACAACGCATCGATGATACGGTACGAAGAATACAATCGATAGCTGTGAAATCTGAATTCAATTTCGAGTAAAATCATGAATTAAATTGTAATCAGTTTTTAACTTGCCCTTCCGCAATTAATCTTGATTTTAAGCCATAATTTATTATAATTAAATGCAAATATAAAAATCAAAAGCAAGCTATCGATCCTCATCGAAACAAACCGGCCGTGAAACCGTGTCGTGTCAATTAGTTCAATTATCGAATCGAATTCAAAAATTTCCCGCTCAACATGTCTGGAATAAACACACATTTTATTCAATTTTCAATAGAGGTGAAACATACTTTAAAACACATATACAGACTTTCGGAACTATTGTGGAAGTACGAGAAAAGAACTATCTCTTCAGTTAATTTATGTAAAACGGCTTTCACACGGTACAAACGATAAGAAAAGCGATTTTGGAAAACATTTTGGCAAATACTGCGCACCTGGCCAGGCCAACACTCTAACATACATATTAACATATTACACACTAGATCTGGAGGTTGCGCATGCCACCGTTGATGTTGTTGCCTCCCTGCTCCACAGTCCAGATGACCAGCTGGCCATCCACACCCGAGGTGGAAACCTTGCTTGCGCTGGACTTATCGCCAGCATAGATGCGCACACTGGTGATGGCGTTTTGGTGGATGGAGTCCACCACAGTGTCCGTGTTCTCTGTGCGCATATTGCGGTCCATTGACTGGAAGATGCGCATGGCCGTAATTCCGCCGGACTCCCGCTTCTGCGACTTGTCCAGCTTGCCGCTCAGAACCAGTTTGTTGTCCGCCGTCAGGCTGTAGAGGAGCGGCACACAGCTATAGCCAGCCACAACGACGGAGGTGGGCGAGACCCACTCGCAGGAGAGGAATGGTAGGTAGCCGGTGCGACAGCGTATAACGGTGTTGCCGTTGGTGGCATCTGCAATGCTCACACAGCTGTCGTGTCCCACCCAGCAGACCTTGTTGCCATCGCTGGAGAAGCTCACATTGTTGATCCAGCCCCCACCGGAGGTCAGCGAGTTCTTGAACTCGGCCATCAGCTGACCCAGGGGCTTGCGATTGCCCCAGGGCGTGGGTGAGGGCGGTTCCTCCACATCCTTGATGAAGGCCGAGAATACTCGCACCTTGTAGTCCGTTGATCCAGCCACCAGCAGAACGTTGTTCGGATGCCAGTCGAGGGAGGTCACGGTGGAGCGAATCGGCTTCTTGATGTGCTTGGACACCCACCAGTCGTTCTCAGACTCGAAGTAGCAGACCGAAATGAGGCGAGCCCCAGAGCCCACGGCGAACTTGTTCTCCGCCGGCGACCACTTGACGCATGTGGCGGCGCGGTTGATGCGCAGCAGCACCAAAGTGGGCTTCCATTTGCCGTCCTCCCCCTGGGTCCACACATAGGCATTCCGGTCGGCTGCACAGCTCACGATACGATTGGTGTTCTTGGCCCAATCAATGCCCATTACCCGCAAATCGTGCTGATTCAGTACGTCGGCCAACTTCCAGTCGTTGCCATCGCGGCTGTATATGTGGATCTCATGGTTGTTGGGCGATAAGGCAATCTCTGTGGGGAAGCAGTGAATGATATGAGTCATGAATGAGTAAGCTCCGAATGCCCAACCCGAACGACGCCAACTTACGCGTCCGGTCCTTGTTCCAGGCGTGGCAGGTTATTGAGGCCAGGGAGGTGCCAAAGGTGAATGTCTCGGCCATTGTTGAGGAATAAATGCACACAACGCAAGTTGCAACCACACACGTAGTTTTGATTCGCCGGAGTTTGATGACCGAGTTAGGAAACGGAACCGAGTGGGCGTTGTTTCTGCTTGGGGCGCTCTCTCTAGTTTTAATCGCGGACTCTGGGCCGTCTACACGATTAAGCTAGCCTTGGTAAGAAGGAGAACTGCAAATTTCCTGCCAATTGAACACAAACTTATTGAAAACTATTTCCAAAATGCAAAGCAGTCGATTTAGTGATAAAACATACCGAAATGGTATACATGGTATATCTAATCATTTTTGTGGTATTTAATGGTATATTACTGTATTTTTTAAAATTTGATAATAGTGTTAGGACATTAGACTTTGCGAACTGACTAGCTGGAAATATAGAGATGGCCTTATGGGAAAAGCCTGCAGTCAGTCAGAGCGATAGAAGTATATGTGTCAAGCTGGCTCTTTAGTTGAGCTGTTCGATTGTTTTACTTTGCGGATACAATTTTGCTGGCTTGGTGTCTGTTTGAGCTGGAAAACCAAATTTTGTCTCAAGTAGTGCCTCAGTTGTTCGACTGAAAACCAGTAGACGTGTCTATAGAGAATTAGGCTGTGGCCCAAAATGACTTTTTATTATAGATTTGGGGTTTTAAAAATTTCTAAAGAATTATGGTTTTTTTTTATGGTGTAGTTTTTTTTTTAAGAATTTTTTAAAATCTGGAATTTTTTTAATGTTTTTTTTCAGAGGTGGTGCTTCTTTTTTTCACATAACTTAATATCTTATATCTGGTTGCATAGAACTTTACAGTTCTAAAAAGCTGATAAATGCAGCTATAAATCCGACCCAGACTCTTTGTATCTGCAGCTTAACGCCTGAAAGATATTAAGCTTTCAAATTTAAATTTCATCATTTTTTTGCGGTATTTTTTCACGAAATTTTGACTTTAAGAACTCGGGAAAAGTAGAAAGAAAAATAATTCTTGGCCAACATTTTTGGTTTTAGATAGACGCATTAATTAGGCGTCGTTTAAGTTATTGTACCTCTAAAAAAAACCATGAAAAAAATACCAGACTTTAAAAATTCTTTAAAAAAAATGACACCATAAAAAAAAATAGAGTACTACAAAAATTTTTAAATCCCGAAATCTATTAGAAAAGGTCATTTTGGTTAACAGCCTAAATACAAAGTTCAATTTTGTCGATTAGTCTAATTGGCAGAGTCTAATACTGTAGTTAGTATACTGTATGGTTAGTGATTCAACCATATACTGTATAGTATATTTACGGTATATTTTGAAAATAAGAAATATTTCTGAGCGTTAGACGGTGTATTTGATCGATAAATCCGCGGTCACACTGATTGTTGTATTGTTGTTGATGGCAGCTGAAATAAAAAACCATGGCGGATTTGAAAAAAATGTGCCGCATTTGTCTGAAAGACGCCGTGAACGCTGTGGACATTTTTGCGAGACAGAAACCCGATGAGAGCTTGCCCTACGAGCCGGAAGATCTTCCGGCCAATCTGATTAAGGATTGCACTGGGTTGAGTGTGCAAGAAGGAGACGGTCACCATCAGCATTTATGCCAGCCGTGCTTTAGGCAGCTTCGGAAAGCCTTTCGATTCAAACGCAAGTACTGCCGGAGCATGCAAAACCAGGCTCCGGTGAAGAGAGAACCAACTGACGAGGAAATTTCCATAATTCCAAACGATGACGCCTGGCAGCCGCCACCAGTAAAGGTGAAGAACGAGGCAGAGATCGACGATGATTCCACTGTGCCGGTGATTAACGAGGAGGAACACCACAACACTGCTGCAGAATATTTTGAGATCATCGAGACCGACGACTTGGAATTAAACATCAAGACCGAGGAGGACGGAGAGGAGGAGATGGAGGAAATTACCCCCAACCCGCCACTGATGAGGAGGCCTTTCACCATCCGGGTAGTGGCGTCGCAGGAGGAACCCCAGCCAAATAATGCCGGACCACCACCGCTCCACTACCAGTGCATACACTGTCCAAAGACGTTCCCCAAGAAGGTGCAGCTCCTTCTCCACAGTCGTGCGCACAAAAAAAGGGAGCTGCCAGACGCGGAGGATCTACCGGCAGAAAGCTATGACTAGCCCCGCCCGGAATGAGATTCGTATCAAGTAATCTTCAAAAATAGAATGTATTTTGTCAGAGCTAGGAGAGATCAATGATTTAGCTATAAGGAAGGAACGACATACCCGTACTAACATGACATGCTGGAATGTATATTTAGTATAGGACAGACAAAAGCTGATTGACAGACAATGGGGAAAGAACCCACATATTATGTTACTTACAATAAGAGGTTCAAAATATCCAGTTTTAGGTTTTGTCAGATTGAATCTACTGGCTTCGATAGAGCCCCACCAAGGAGACAATTTAACAATGAAAACACACGATTTTATTTCAAATAAATTCTTGGATATTTCTCAACTTAAAATTGCTAGAAAATTGTTTTTGTTTTTCCAGAATGTTCGAAGTTCGATGACCGTTCCTGTACTCTAATCCAGCGGTGGGCACTCCTTGCTCCCATTGATTCCACCTGACGAGGCACGAGACGCCAGTAAGTGATGCACAAGAGAATGATTTAAAAGAGAATGCCCAGGAATACAAAAACAAATTACTACAGAGAGCGTAGCAGATTGATGCTCGACTCAAGTCTCGCGGATGGAGGTTTCTTTTGTGGTTTTTTGGACTGTTCGGACTGAGAGCATTAATTCTAGCTCCGGGGAGTTAATTAAACTAATGGCTAATGTACTATCTAGCAGTTAGATTTATGTAATTACTTAGGTATGATACAAAAGATTCGTATGCCTCGGGGCACGTGGTTTTTGTCATTCGATTTTGATACATTTTGTCTCCTTTGATTCGAAATTATAATTTATTCTTAACGATCTTCGTATTCCTAGTAATATTGATATATTTCATATTTTACAGCCTTGTTTCTCTCTTCTCTCTCTTCTTTCTTGGTCGCAGCTTGTACTCGGTCTTGGGCTTCACTTCCTGGAGGCTATGAATGGTCATATGCTGCTGCAGATCGCTCTTCTGGTTAAAGCCGCTGTGACACTCTCCGCACTTGTAAAGTTGCTCGTAGGAGTGCGTCCGCATGTGTAAAATCAGATGACCTCTCTGGATGTATTGGCTAAGGCACTGCGGACATTTGAAGGGCCGTTCGCCGGTGTGACGGCGCATGTGCGCTTCGAGGTTGGTCTTCTGAATATAGGCCTTGGGACACTGGCTGCACCGGTAGGGCCGTTCCCCTGTGTGGAGTCGCATGTGGGTGTCGAGATGGCTCTGCTGCGAATAGGACTTGGAGCATTTGGAGCATTTGAAGGGTCGTTCGCCGGTGTGGCGGTACATGTGTGCTTTCAGATTGGTCTTCTGAATATAGGCCTTGGGACACTGGCTGCACCGGTAGGGCCGTTCCCCTGTGTGGAGTCGCATGTGAGTTTCGAGATTGCCCTTCTGGATATAGGCCTTGGAACAATGGTTGCACTGGAAACGTTTCGTTTTTTTCACGGAAAGCGTCGAACCATCGATATTCCTTGCTGATTTTGTAGGCTGAAACCAGTTCGTATCATCTTCGTCGGACTCCGCGGGCTCATCATTCGGGCGGTCCTTGTCCTCTTTGGCAGATTGGATCTCTTTGCACTTTCTATTTTTTGGGTTTCTAGCTGTAGTTGAATCGCCAACTCTCTTCTGTCTGTTTCCCTTTTGTGGGCTTTCAATGGCCGCCTTGGCCCACTGCGTTTTATTTTCTTCTCCTGCCTCGGGATCTTCCACGCATTTCATTTCCCCGATTTCCATTGCATTGTTCGTTTCACCCAAAGTCATTTTATGTTCATCCTGTTTTTCAGGTCCCTGAGACTCTTCCTTCTCATCAGAATCCTCCAGAATCCACTCTTCCTTCACCAGCATCGTGCACAGATCGTCCTCCGCTTTTATTACTTTTGCAAAGTAGCGGTGGCTCTCCTCGTACTGGCGCTTCAATCTGAAAGCAGCTTTGGTCGCCACAACGCATCTCCCGCACATGTACGCGGGGAATCCATCACGCAGCTTTAACTTGCAGTTTGAGCACTCATTTATCATATCCGCCAAACAAAGCGGCTGCCCTTGCCTCTCCTCCCTCGAGTGCGATTTGGTATATATGTACACCAGGCAGTCGGAAATTTCCCGGCATACAATACACATCTGGGAGATGTCCTCTAACCCAAGGGGACTTAGTCTGTCGTCCATGATCACATTGAAAACGTAAACAAAAGATGTTTGTGAAAATTTTTCGCAAACCTGGGCATTAGTAAAACCGCGTACTCATGAGTCAAATATACCGTCTGACCCGGAGAAAAATACGAAAATATACTTTCTCATAAATATACCTTTATACATACTTTTTGCTGGCTGAGTTTATAGCCATATGTTATTAGACTTTGCTAACTGACTAGCTGGAAAAATAGAGATGGCTTTATGGGAAATTCATGTAGTCAGAGCGAGAGAAGCATTGCGTTACATTGGCTGGGGCACCGGTGCGACAGATCTATCCAATTTTGCTGGCTTGCTGGCTGTGTGAGCTGGAAAACATAATTTTTCTCAATTAGAGAAGGCTACGAAGACTAATTTGTCATTTTGTCCATCTTGCTATCTCTCTCTTCGCAGAAAAGTTAGCAAAGTCTAATGTCAGAACAGCATAAGTCAAAGTATAGCCTGATGCCGCCGAAATCAATCACCCGAAATATCGGCACGATGTCTCAATGTCGGTGTTATCGGTTACAGTGCTCGCATCGCGTTGGCGCGCTTTGATTCCCTGCCCTGCAGCTGTTTGCAAGAAAATCACAACAAATGGAAAATATCTGCGCCGCTTTGGAGCCGGTGTTTCCTTGCCGGGAGGCAGCCATCAAAACACTGGGCGAACTGATTGGAGACTCGCGGGAGGCCTATCCTTCGGCAATCTATCTGTTCGGGCACAGTGGGACAGGAAAAACAGCCCTAACCAGAGCATTCCTCCGAGAATGCAGCAGGCAGCAAGCTGTTCGCATTGCGAACATCGAGTGCATCGAGTGCTATAGCACAAAAATAATGCTGGAGAACATGTTGGACTCACTGGCTCCGCGTCCGGCCACAGGGGAAGCCGTTCGTGCCGATAACATGCTTGAGTTTGTGGAGCAGCTGCGTCGTTGGCATGACCAGGGAGCGAGATTCCAGAGCTTCCTGATAGTCGTAGACAATGCCGAGCGCTTGCGTGACATGGATGCAAATGTACTGCCCGTTTTGCTGCGACTCCAGCAGCTGACCAGCCTCAATCTATGTGTGATTCTCCTGTCACAGATTCCCTTCGAGAAGTTTTACAACAAAACGGGTCTGACGGAAGTCATTAGCCTGCATTTGGCCCAGTACAACAAGGCAGAGACGCAACGAATTCTCAGCTCGGACTTTTTTCAGGTGCGAGGGCACCTTCTTAAGCAATTTTCGAAGGATGGCCAGCGCCTCGCGATCTGCGAATCGGCCCTCACCGAGGACTTCTATAGCAACTACCTAAATCTCTTCCTCAGCGTATTCTACAAGGCTTGCCGGGACGTGCCCGAGCTGCAGTTGACGGCCCGTAAATGTTTCTCCATTTACTTGGAGCCCGTTTTGGATGGCACCGTTGAGTCTACAGATGTCTCCCGGCTGTGGCGACACATTGCTGGACCCTTGAGATCCGCCCTCACCCAGATCTATATGCGAATAGACAAGCCTCCGGAAGAGCAGGAGGGATCAGCACCCATCGAGGATCAGAGCGTTCGCAAGCTGGCGCAGTCGCTTGAGTTGCCCTACTATGCCAAATATCTACTTATTGCTGCCTTTTTGGCCAGTCACAACTCGGCCAACCAGGACAAACGGCTGTTCGTCAAGCACCATGGAAAGCAGCGTAAGAGAATGCAGACAGTCAATGCCAGAGCCAAGGTGCGTTCATTTACTCCGTTGCCGGTGAACATCTTAACACTTTCTGAACCTTTCCAGACTACAGAGAAGATGTCCACGACCCTGGGACCCAAATCTTTCAGCATTGATCGCTTGTTGGCCATCTTCTACGCCATTCTTGAGGAGAAAGTGGGCCTCACCTGCAACCTGCTGTCTCAGATCTCCACATTGGTTCACCTCAAGCTGCTCAGCTTTGTCTCTGGCGAGCAGAATATAATGGACGGCTCGGCCCGGCTCCAATGCACGGTCGGCCTCGAGTTTGTGCTCTACATCGGCAAGGTGGTCGGCTTCAACGTGCGCCAATATCTTTGCGATTTCATGTAGGGTATTAGTGTTTAAATATATTCAGTAAATAGTCTGGTACATCGCTTATGTGTATGGTCTCCGCCAGCCTGGTGTCTCGGCTGCGCAGCTGCAGCAATCCGTTTTGGAGCGTTTGCTCGCTCACGAGCAGCGTATAAGGCACACCCAGCATATCCGATTTTTCCATATGTTCCCTCAGTTCGGAAGCATCCTTTGTCAGGGCATATCCATCGCCTTGGCAAAGGCGCAGCCCTGCCCGGTGAAGGACGTCTTTTATGTGAAGGCAAAGGTCAGCCAAGTCTCCTGGCTGGGCTGGATCGACCTTTCAGGCAGGCGATTCCACACTGATAGGGCGCCAGAACACGGTTCAGCAACAGCGATTGAGTCTCGCGTCCGTGGTCACAGCCATCCAAAAGTAGAGCTGTGCCCAAGCGAAAGATTAAAAAAATCAATTCAAAGGAATTGCATAGGGCAGAATTGCCGGAATGCTTACCGCAGGTGGCTGTTTCCAGCTCAATCACAGATCGTATGACAGCCGGCGGCAGGGATTGGTCCGTCCTCGCATCGGGCAGTCGGAAATCATCGCCCTGCAGCATCACCATGCTCAGTTGCTCTACTGCCACTCCTACCTCTTCGCCGAACCTACATACGATGTCGATGGCTTGACAGTGTTTGGCATCCACCTCAACCGGCAGTTCGTGGGGTACGATTCGGTAGCGACTGGGATTCGAAGAGTACCTCATCCACCAAATCTTGCTCTCGCGCTGCATATTGTAAAAGTGCTCTAGGGCGCGATAGGGCTCCACCAAAAAGTCGGTAATTAAATGCGTAACGGGAGCCTTGTGGCCTAAGAAGGGCTCGGGCTGGCAGGAGGATGAGGATGAGGTGCACAGATGCTTTAGGAGTGTGGGACATTTTGCCTTTCGGGGATGCTCTCGAACCAGCTGCTCGAAGTGGGAACGGAATCGTTCGGTGCGGGCGAAGGAAAAACGCTGGAGGGGGGTGGAGAAAACTGCTTCAGAGGAATCGCTAGTGCCCAAATATGCAGCCAGCGGCCGCAGACTTAGCCACTGTTGTTTCAGCAGATCGGCATAGGCGTGTCCGTGAGCAAGCAGCTCGACTCGGCTGTCATCTAGGACGCGAAAGAAGCCAGCGGATTCCAAAGACCTGAAGCAACGACTCAGACGACTCATTGTTCCAGCGGAATATTGCCCGGCGGCGAGACGTAGTAGTCCTCGTCTGTCACCTTGGCGTTTTTCAGCAGCTCCACACGGCAGTCGCCTTCGTTCACCTCGTCGTTGCGTAATTGGAGCTGCTGATTCTCGAGCACGGTGTAGAGAGGCCGAACGTTGTCCGTATTGATGTGGGCTATCTTGTCCGCAAACTGGATGCTGCTCTTGAGCGTTTCCAATGCCTGTTCACTATCCAGATCCACTAGGGAGAGCCGCTCCAGCAATTGAATGGTTTTTGTGTCAATCTCCACTCTGTTGGCGATTGTGTCTGGAATGGCAGTGTCCACCGGCATTTGTGGCACCTTTGTCTCGTGTCGTAGCTCCTTGAAATCCAATTTGATTGCTTTTAAATCCGTTCTCGCGGCAATTTTGCAATAAAAACGTATATTTCGCAACATTCTTGCAAAATCAGAAATGTGCGCATCAGTGTTGCCAAGTAAGCTATTTTAGAGTAATGACCAATTCGTTATGAAGTTTTTGGCTATTATTAATTTCTTTTCCAGAAAAACAGCTATTTTTCTGATACAAATTTGGCAGCACTGATTCGATATCTGTGCCGCTCGTGCTATCGGTTTTACTCCCATCACTACCTCGCCGCTTTTTTCCGCCGCTGTTTTTAATTTTCTTAATAAAAACAAAACAAAAACAAACTAGCCAGCAATAATGCCGTATGCCAATCAACCCAACGTGCAGATAACCGAGCTAACGGACGACAATGTGAAATTCGTGCTGGAGGACACCGAGCTCAGCGTGGCCAACAGTCTGCGGCGCGTTTTCATTGCCGAGACTCCAACGCTGGCCATCGACTGGGTGCAACTAGAAGCCAACTCCACAGTGCTGTCGGACGAGTTTCTGGCCCATCGCATCGGGCTGATTCCGTTGATATCCGACGATGTGGTCGAGCGTCTCCAGTACACGCGGGATTGCATCTGCCTGGACTTCTGTCCCGAATGCAGCGTGGAGTTCACCCTTGACGTCAAGTGCAACGAGGAGCAGACGCGCCACGTGACTACCGCTGACCTGAAGTCCAGCAATGCAAAAGTGCTGCCGGTAACCTCCCGTAACCAGGGAGAGGAGGATAACGAATACGGCGAAAGCAGTGATGAGATCCTAATTATAAAACTGAGGAAGGGACAGGAACTGAAGCTGCGTGCCTATGCCAAGAAGGGCTTTGGAAAGGAGCACGCCAAGTGGAACCCCACCGCCGGCGTGTGCTTCGAATACGATCCGGATAACTCCATGCGGCACACCCTCTACCCCAAGCCGGACGAGTGGCCCAAGAGCGAGCACACCGAACTGGAGGACGATCAATTCGAGGCCCCCTACAACTGGGAGGCCAAGCCAAACAAGTTCTTTTTCAACGTAGAGTCCTCGGGGGCCCTCAAGCCGGAGAACATCGTCATTATGGGCGTCCAAGTGCTGAAGAACAAGCTCTCCAATCTGCAGACGCAGCTCAGTCACGAGTCGCAAAACGATGCTTTGGCCGTTTGAAATGTATGCATACATATATTTTTAGTTTATAAACAATTTCGACTAATCCTTGAACAAGCTGCCTATGTTAATGCCCACGCCGCTGTCCTTTTTCCTTTCTTTGGGCGGACTTGAGAACTTGTCTTGCTGCCCGCCAGCCTCCATGAAGTCGCTCATTAGCTGGCTTTTCGTCTCTACGTCTAGATCGGTGCCTGCGACAGCAGGTTCCTCCGTGGTGGCGTCAAGACGGGATTGCTGCCGCTGCTCCGCCAAAAAGTCCAATGCCGTCTCGTATATTCTCTGCTCATCCAGGGCTCCCTGGGCCTTAAGGTTGCTGTAGATCTGCAAAAACTGCTGCGACTGTGTACTCCGCTTGTTGTCGAACAGGGATATCGTTTCATTGGGCCTGTTATGCTTGTGCAGTTTCCTGTGCATGGACAAATCGACAAATTAGTTTTGGCTCTAAGTAATGAACGGCCGGCAGTCTCAAACATACGCTCTTACTACATCCTCAGCATAGAATATGTTGCGCACTGGCACCTCGGGAGCTGGTCTGTCGAAACGGGGCTCCGCCTTGGGTGGAAAAGCGGCGTAGACGTCATACCAGATTGGCTTGTCCTCTGTTTTCATGGCACCCCCACGGAGCAGACCCTGAACCCTTTTAAGAAAAAGCAGGTGGTATCAGTGTGTGTGGTGCATTGGCGGAAGCCTGCTTACCTGGTAAAGATAGTCCCGATTTTCTCAAGTCTGCTTTGTGCCATAGTTGCTGTTTGCACTTTATTTTTAGTAAATTAAAATTACGACATGCGATGGTCACCGACAAGCAGTGCATTTATAGGTAAAATATACCGCTTGACCCTCAGAAATATTTCGAAATATACCTTGTCATTATCAAAATATACCGTAAATATACTGACGGACGCGAAAAGATGCGGATATTCCTCGATTTTAATATTCTGTTGAATATTACTAGCTAGCTAGCCCTCTCATCCCTAAGCAAATAATTTTATCCAATTCATCAATCAATTTTTTTACAAGATTGGCTAGTTTTCAGATCTTATTTTTATTGGATTGTTTACATAATAGGGTTCAAACAAAAACGGCCAAAGCATAAAATGTAAGTGTGCACCGGAATTTGACGTCATTGTTGCTGATGCAATGGACATTTTTGTACCCTATTTCCTTGAATTAATGTTAAATTTGTTGTTCGAAGCTTAGATTGGCACGTTTTTTACCTATTCATGCATTTGATTTGTGCTCTGTTTATACAATTATCTCGCTCCCGATTCTGCAAGCTGCAAAGTTTCAATAGTATCATTAAAACAGAGACTGAGTAGACTCTGCACTCATTGGAGCCTGAGATTATAAACATTGCCTCCATGGGTATACAAGGTACTAAAAAAAAGACGTTGATATGTAGCAAATGTGTAGTTACCGTGTAGTTACCACGTGAGTTTTTGATTAAACTTTATTTTATAAGCAATCCAATAATTGGAGGTCCATAGAACAAACTATATTGTAAAAAATGTATTCATCAATCTGATAAAATTATGTGTTTAATGGTGAGAGTCCTAACTAGTTTGTAATATTAAATCGAATATCAAAGTTGAGAAATATGATTTTCCTCGGTATATTTACGGTATTTATTATGAAAATGATATGGTATATTTTTGGGGTATATTTTGTTGATAAGTCCGCGGTCACACTTGTCGCAGATTCCAGCAGAGCAGAGAAAAACCTATGCTGCGCTGCCCCCGCCCGCCCCGTCGTGAACTACCGTAATTTTCGCTCTGTTTTGATTGTTTGTGCAGGTGTAAAAATCGATCTATTGAATTGAGTTGACTCCGCGGGGGGCAAATGCTCTACAGATATTCGTCTGACTACCATCCCAACTGACAGTGCGTGCTGTGGAGGCTCCCCATAATTGTCGTCGTCGTGCCGTCGTTTGATTGTGTTTTTGGAAAATGTTGCTGCGCGTCGCGATTCAGGAAAATTGTGCCATCGCTTGAGTGTCGTATGCCGTGTGCGTGTGTGTTTGTTTGTGTGTGTGTTTAGTTTACATTTACCCTGCTCGATCGGACGCAATTTAAGTTAATTAAAAACGTTGGCTAATTCTCGATTTTGACGCCTACGCAATGAGTAACTATCATCCGCACTCGTTGTCGCATCCGCACCAGCTCCAGCTCCAGAGCCATCATCTGACGCAGCCCCAGCCGCAGCAGCAGCAGCGTCATCATAATCAGACGCCCACAACCACCCAACTATTGGGGGATCGATCGGCCTCGTCCTCATCGTCATCCTCAATGCTGGTCGCCACCCAGCCTCCGCAACCGCTGATAAGCAACTCTTTAGCCATACGCCAGGAGATCCAGCGCTTCGAGAGCGTCCACCCATCGATCTATGCCATATACGATCTGATCGATTTGCTGCCCCTATCCGATGCCCAGATAGCCCAATCCATTCGGGACCATGTGGTCTGCATTGAAGGTGAGTCCAAGTCTCATCATTGAATTGAATTTTCCTGCATTTCGCATCGTGCGCATTATGCGCCGTATGGGCATGGGTCAAGACCCTTGGATCCTTTAGAATAGATAGAAATCTCTTGATTAAACATGTTCCACACCTCTTTGGGCTGCCTCCATTGTTGTTTGTTATTTGTTATGGACTGGACTTGTGGTTGTCTTTGTTTGGAGTGCTTTATGCTAATCTCTGACCGAAAATCTATGAAGCAACCAATACCAACCCCCTTCTGATTGTTGCCAAAATGTCCATTGAAGCGGGAACAGCAGACGGACGGCAGAGGCCATTGAAAGTGTTGTCGTTGTCGTTTCCAAAAAGAAAGAGCTTCGCTTTTTGTTTAAAACAAGCTTTTCTGCCCAATTTCCAATGTGTCTGTGTGTGTGTGTGTGTGTCGTGTTCCTCCGTGCCGCTGCCACAGTCGCAGCTTCAGCTACAGAGCCGCCTCAATGTGCGGGGCATGAAATTTGATGCTCGATGCTACCTTCTTCTTCTTCTTTTTCTTCCTCCTCTCGCAGCAGCAACAACATCTCAAAACCGAATCCGAATCCGCTCACAAACGAAAACCGAAAACCAAAAAAACCGGTTCTTAAATGGTTTATTAGAAAATCTCTCGCGGCTTCCCGAAAATGTAAACAAAATCGTCAGAGTCCGCCTCCTGCCCTTGTTGTTGTTGTTATTGTTGTTGCTGCCTGAAGAACATGCCTTTTCTGTCCGCGCTCTTATCGTGCAAACCAGATACATATTGTATGTATGTTCATACATTACATATGTATGTACATAAATACATACGTATGTAGGTATGTATGCAAGTAGGAAACACGAGAGGAGACAGTCCAATAGACAGTTTTGCACGCGACTTTCTTATTGTCGATTCCTTTCCCGATTCTAGTTCGTTTGTCTTTGCGGGACTCGGGAATTGGGAAAGGGACAGAATGATGAATGATGCCTTCAATAATACCTTGTAAACGCGGGCAGCAGAGGGGTATGCTTTGTCTGTGTAGCAGTGGCGACGGACAAGTGAACTTTTCGATCCCATAAGAGATACCATGCGATTTCTGAGGCATGGGCATCTAATAGTCTAGTTGGAATGGATATCGTATAGCGTTTCTACGTTGTTTAGTTGCTTGAAAGCAAAACCTACTATTGGCATTTTCCGTTCGAAATGCTTGTTTATTTATAGGCTCCAACAATAACGGGAGAAGGTCGAAAGCACTTAAGTGGAAGCTCAACAAAAGTCGATGAAGAAATTCGGTCTTCGTTCCGTCTTTTGTTTGACAGAATCAAATGGCTGGGCAATAGTTCTGTAGTCCATTGGGCTCTCCATGTGTCACACCGATTTGCATATTGGCAAAGCCATTAAATGGCTTTAATAAACCATAAAAAGACGATATAAGCATATCAATCGCATCGTTACCACAAAATACCTAATAGTTCTACGGACAGAAATAACTTGCGTATCTCCGAACACACTTGTACTCATACCTACATACATATACATATGTACATACATATACATATTTGTCTGTTTGTTTTTATTTTTCTTGTGAATAAAAGGAGTAGTAGTCGGGGGACTGGCAGATACAGATACAACACACGAATAAAGTAAAACGCCGCTGGCGGTAGTCAAAAAAACAAATTTCCTCTCTTATCTCAAATGGCCCGCGACGTCGCGTCCGTCGCGAGGGTGTCCGGTCTCCCGGCTTTCCCATTAAAGCGAATGCAATTAGCGCCCCTCGACTATTTGTTGGGATTACAATAAAAGTTCATGTGCCCTTTGGCCACGATGGGCCACTGTTGAACTGTTAAAAGAGCTGCAGCCAACAGTCATGGAACGATACTGATTAATTGTTATGTAATACCTTTGCGGGATGATGTGGATTCCCTGCAAAAGTTTATCAAAAGTGAACACAAAAGGGATATAACCCAGTGGCACCACCATCATCAACCATCGAATGGAACAGTGGCATAGAACTAATTTCGAATGCAGTGGAAGCAGCTTGGTGCGTAATACTATAGAATCACAGCAAGTACTCCCTGCACCTTGCATTATATCGAAATTCTTGATGAAATACTTGAAACTGAACATTACAATTATTATAGAATTTGGGAATAAGAAAAACCTTATCAGCGAAACTAGAGCCTAGCAGAGTATGCCTTGCCATTCAACGACATATTTGTTGTTTTTTCATTTTTGTAATTCCGAAAATAACACTCGACTAATGAATATACGGCCTGGTTCCTTTAGCTGTTTCCATTTAGACAGACTTTTCGGAATCAGAATATTCGACTATGTGTGGCAAAAGTCCCGAGGGTAAATATACAGATAGAAACTGGAATCAACACAAAAGTTTACCTTAAAGTAGGAATAATTTGAGTCCCATAGATACGAGTATATTCGTCAGCATCAACATCAGAAGCATGTTTCTATAATTCTGTTAGTCTTTTATAAAAGTTTCCGAATTTAGTCCCACATAATCTAATAAGAATTTGATAGCTAGACATATGACACGAATGAAAGAGCTGTCGCCTAGCAATTAGGCTTGAGCATTGAGTTGTTGTTTTATTTGAATCGAATTTAATTAATGTATATCAATCAGAGTTATTTCGTATCAATCTAATCGTTCGTTATCTTGTGCCGAAAATAACTTTTAATTTTTTAGTTCTTCCAAAGTTTCAAGTTCTCGTCTTCTCTTCAGTCGCCGCTCTGTCAGCGTATCTACTTCCAGTTCTGCCCATTTATTTAATAATTGCATTTTTAATTTTCACTGTTATCTTTAAACTTATTGGAAAAGAATGTGGCAGCCTCCGACACCGCCCATCATCGCGGCCGGTTCCGTTGATACGTATCTCCGTCAAGTGTCGGGTAGGCCCCTCTTATCGGCCCGCGCCCTCGGAACTGCTGTTTATTTATTCTTAATTGTACAATAATATTGACATGCGGATTGTCAAAAGAATTATGGTCCGCCGCCACTGCCATTCTGTCTGTGCCATTCGGAAGTGGAACAATCGCTGTTGTGCGTCGATGCGCTCGATAGCGTGACACGGCCGGAGATGCCATTGGGATTGAATTGGTTATAATGCCCCCCTAGCTCCACTCCCATCCGTGACTCTCGTCTATTTTTAACGCAAATTGCATTAAAAATAGTATCTTGCACTTTGCTGGCATTTGCTATTTTCGTCATTCGGAATTGCACAACAATTTGTTGCGAGTTTCAATAAAAAGCTGAACAAAAGAAATGCAAATTCGAGAGAGAATTTTGCGGCGAGGCAATTGAGTCTTATAATGTGCCCGAATTTGGTGCTCTGCTCGCCCGCTGGCGAATGATTCACGAAATCGTGACAGCTCTGAAGAAATTTATCATTCCGTTTGAGGGTTCTTCCTCTGCCTCCCTCCTACAATACAATTATACATACCAATATTTTGCGTTTCGAAACAGTAAGACTGTTGGACTATACGAGTATCAGAGTTTAATTAAAGCCCATTTCATTTAGTTTTTCTGTGTGCAAAAGCGTCTCTATATCGGATTATTCATATACACAAGTACATATGTAGGAGTATATGCCTATGCTATATTGTTATTGAACGCACTGTACTTTCATATATGGCAAACTGTGATGAATGGCAGAGAAAAATGGTTAAATATCAAACGGTTTGAAGATCAAATCATCCCACATATGTCGATGTTGGGATGAGATTATGACGCTAAAAGAGAGATATTCCACTCGAGTGTCACACATATTGGGTTTATTGCTGTTTTCTGTGTTCAGTTACGGATAATGTCATTCGATAGCCCCTCGAAGTGGTTCTCCACGACCCTGCCACTGAGCTTGGCCATTTTCCAGAAATATGCCGCCACTTCGGAGACGAAACTCTTTGAGATCTCCTGCAGTTTCCCATCCGTGAGCAGGGCCTTGTACTCGTCATCGCTGAGGCCCGTTTCAGACTGTCTGTTCAGCAATAAAGGCGATTTCCTGAACTAAATTGGACGGAAACTAGTAAGAGATCTTTTTCCTGAAGGATTCCACACTTACATCTTCGAAGATATCAAGCCATATTTGATCCTTCTTGTCCAGATCGTTCTCCGCAATCGCCTCGTTCACGCGCGACACATAAAGATCTATGTCAGTGGCCCTCCTCGACTGGGGGTTCAGCTTGGCCTTCACCTCCGTAAAGTATGCGATTTGTGCTCGGAAGAGGCCGTTTAGCAGCCTGACGGTCTCCTCGCGGGCCTCCTGTTCCAGTTGCCTCTGCACCGGATCGTCCGACTTGTTGCTCGATGTCGGATCGCGAACTGTGGGTGCCGCCAGCACGAGCTGCCAGAAAGATCAGATCGATTGATAGATCGATAATAAGCGGATGATAATACCGAGGGATTATCGCCTACACTCACCTGAGCCAGCAAAAGCAGGGGGAAATATTTGAGCAGCATTCTCTCGTTTAGGGTCTAGATGATGCTGCGTCCTCTGTGTATGGATGTCGGTTATGAACTGAGTATTGGTCGAAATATATGTAAATATATTTAATTGGAAGCGATGCGATGGGCTGTTCGATTCGCCTAGAAAGCTAAGCTGCTGATAAGCGCACGAAGGCTTTGCAGCTTTAGAGTACAATTTAGTTCTCTCTGAGCGACGGCTCTGTAGATGGTGATAATTATTTTCAATGAATTTTCAGATTTCTGTATTATTGCGTCGCACATATGTATGTGCGTGGATTTTGGGCACGTTTCCAGAGAGTGAGAGTAATACGATGTATAAGTATGGACATAGGATGTACATACATTCATACATATGTATATTATAGATTGGTCTAGGTTCTGAGTTTTCAAGGCCACTTCAGCTGATGCCACAATAGAGCTTTCGAACAATATCACTCGTAGAGTATCATCTGATTGGGCACTACAAATTTCCCATTAGCGAAAGGTTGCATTAGTTTAAAAAGACACGAACAGAGACCATTCGCCGGAGTACGGGCACAAAGTTTATCATTTAGTCCGATTACATACAGCTGTGGTCATTGAAATAGTAGTGCCGCACTTCCCCACTTTCAGGACTGTTTTTGAGACACGTCCAGTATTCCAAATTAGACATGTGATCCTTTCTTGGAAAGCTTAATATGCAAGCATTATAACCCTGAAGAAATCGTATTGCATTTGCATTCCATCTTCTATGGAATGGCGAACTTCCCCCGACCCCAGCCTTCTCTTGCACTGTATACCAATACAAGGAGTACGACCATATACTTTAGCTACAATATTAGGTGTTATCTCGGTTCATGTAATATAAGTACCTCGGAATCACGCGGGACACCCGCCTGACCTTTGCCAGCCACACAAGGATGGTCAGAAGCGCCTTGGAAAGCAAGGCTAGAAAACTCCACTGGCTTCTTAAGCCTAACAACAAGCTCAGCCTGGTCAGCAAGATCCGCATATATGTATAAGGTAATCCTGGCGCCTGCATGGAGGTATGGCATCCAGGTCTATGGTATCGCAGCAAAAACGAACATTCACAGTATCAGGGTGTTTCAGAACACAAAGATCTGTGGGTGCTGTATGTATGTATGTCCGTAATAGAGACAACGCCAAAGACCTTGGAGTCCCCTCAGTCGGTGACATTATTACGAGCAAGCCACAAGATACTTGACCAAACTAAGGAGCCGCCCGAACTCCTCGCTAGAAGATTGGTAAGGAGCAGAACCAGGCTAAGGTTAAACCGCATCCATCCGTCCGACTTGGCCACCAGGAACATATAAATTCCTGTTGCACAATCTCCGTTTTCGTCCGTTGGTCCCGCATTTAACTTAATATAGTACATAGTAAATAGAAATTGTCCTTGACCCTTAACAAAAGTTGCTAATCAACAGTAACAGTACGTTGTACTGTAATTGTACTTTATTGTCTGTGATAATTGTTTACCTAAAAAAATGTAACAAGGAAAGTTCGTCGGACTGAGTATGCCATTGGCCTAAGCGCAAAAAGTGGCAACGAGTATTTTTCGAACATAAGCACGATAAGAACACATAGATAGATATATACACATATGTATGTACATACACATAGGAATACACATACGAATAGATTTTTACACTCATAGAAACATAATGGGGATGCAGTAATAAACTGTAAAATTTATAAAATTCAACAGAAGTACCTCCAGTGGTACCATCCGAGTCCTACTGTGCCCAGCATAGAGACAAGTGCATTCTTATCTTGCATTCTTAAATGCATACAAATGATCGATAATCTGCTTTCGACCAACCTCGACCGATATACATACATACGTAGACACATACATACATACATATGTATGTATGTATGTAGTACAAAATGATCTAAGGATTCCGTAAATGTTGAAGTTATCGTCTCTTTCACCATTGTATTCTGATTAGAATGGTTTTCAGCGATCATTGCATTCTGATTCGAGTAATTATCAGCGAGAGAAAATCCGATTTGCCGATAACAACATTCGATTACAGCTAGGTGGCTCTTTCCCAAATTAGTGTAAAATTTCGTAGAATTTTTTGGGACGTTTAAAATTTAAATGAACTGAACGATTTGTTTTGAATGTGTAGCATACTTTTGGGGCGTTTGCAGGAACTGCTGTAGAATTCATGTCAAATGCATGAAGAAGTGTCATTTGGCGTGTCCCGTCGAACAGGAAATTAAAACCAACTAATTAGTTTTGGTTCGATTGCTTCAAAATTACCCACAAAAAAGGGCCATGTCGATGCGGCGTACGTGTACATTTATGTATTAATGTAGTTGTGCTGTAGTTGTACATGTAGAAACATGACAATACTCGCGATTTTACAGTTTAATATTGTTTTCGTTTTTAATATCTCCGTTTTATAGTAGGTAATGTGGGCGTGGCATGGATTTTTGCAATAGAAATAATCTCCGCAAACAAAATTGCCAGATTGGATCAGGAAAATAGGTTTTTTTCAAGGCCAATCAATTGTAGTATATTCTTTATATGACACAGTGTACAAATCTTAAGAACCATGTACATAATATGTACTACATACATACATATATGGCTAAACTCTCCCCTTTGATTCTCAGGGAGGGCTCCAACCAGAGTATCGTACGACCACATCTACATAATTGTATGTACATATGTATGTTTGTGGATCCCTGCCCCTGCCTCTGGACACGTGCGGCTGAGAGACTGTACTCGAACCCTTCTCTGACGACTATGGCTGGAATAATCAAACTGTGCAAAAGGAAATGCGACTATGAGACTAATCTGAACGATTAGATTAAGCAAATCAATGGTTGGCTGTTTGGCTCTGTTTTGCAGCTGCTGGTGGGCTGCTAAAAAAACACAATGGGTTTATGGCTGCCGATTATAGGCAAATTTAACATCAAGACTTTGGATCGGTTTTATTATGTTTTATTTGCGGACTAGTTTTTTGCGCCGGTAATAATGGCAATGAGGTCGCTCAGGGTACGATCCCCAATGAGGTCGTTGCAGAGAGGAGTCACCAGCTCGTTGAACCAAGTGGCCACGAACTCTGTGTTTTCGTTAACCGTCAGCGTGATGAACTCCTCGACGATCTCGTTTAGCTTTCGGTTGAAGATGCGGTACTTGGAAAGGTTCTCGATCTCCGAGGCCACGTTGCCCACCGAGGGGTAGACAAGGACGCTCTTCACCTTCATTTGTTTCGAGATGATGCCCAGCGAATAGGAGATCCGTCCCTTCAGGTTGAAGTCCTCCAGGGCCAGGTAGGCGCCTCCGTCGCGCTTCATCCGATACCCACTGCCCACGTCGGCCTGGTACTGGGTCGTGAAGTTGATGCTCCCGAAGTTCAGCTCGAAGTCCACACGACTCCGGATCGCGTCCACGTCCATGATGATCACCTCGAAGCCGTTGAGGCCCTCCAGCACAAAGTCGTTGATCTCTCCGCTGGCGCTAAACTCTCCGGTGCTGAACTTGAAGGTCTGGTGCTTGACCTCGGCGGGAGCCATCTTGGGCATTGGTCCATAGCCCGTCTCCAGAAGTCTTCTGAACACCTCCAATAGATCCAAGATTATGCTGCCCATGGAGCGACCCTCAACTAAAGGAAGTTCGTGTTTAGTTAGCCTCTTGCCACACCCGGTCTTACTTTGGGCTCTTACCAGCCAATGGTTCGGCCACTTCGGCGGCCTGGCAGTGGCCCAGGGCCAGGAGAACGGCGATCAAAACACAGGACTTCATCTTTATGCAGGCACAAAACTCGACACTACACGAGTCAACTTGTCTTCTTCAGTGAGTAAAACACCACTAACCAAGGCCAGCGGAGTCCCTGGCTCTTATATAGTCCCTACATCGTTCAGATAAACTATCTGTATATGTAGCAGCATTCGTTAATCGGCAAGAAATTTCGCAAAGTGCTATAAAGCCACCCCCCCTCCGATAAGGAAAGCTTTAGATTAGTCGCTGGTTAGTGTTGCAAATCTAGCAAATGCCGAAGGAAAAGAGACAGGAGAGGAAAAGCCAACGGGGAAAATAAAAACCAACGTTAATCATAATGGGTTCACTCTAGAACTGTGTTTTAATCAGTGCGTGGATTCATTCACCATTCCAACTCTGGGGGAATGCAGACCTCCTTCTCGCCACCCTCACCATCGCCACCGGAGCCGGCGATGACATCGGCAACGCTGATATCGTCGAGGACATTGTTGACCGCGGGCAGGGCAATCGACTCGATGGTGTCGGCGATCAGGTCCTCGTTCTCGTTGACTGCCGTCTCGACGGCCTCGGCGAGGTACAGGTTCATCTTCTCGTTGATCATGCCATGGCCCATGATGCCTTCGATCTCGGAGTCGACCTCGCCCAAGTGGGTGCGAACCTCCAGGGACTTGAGCTTCAGTTTGCCGGAGATGACGCCCAGGGAGTACTTGAGGGTGCCCCAGATGACCATGTCCTTGATGGCGAACTTGGCGTGTCCAGCGCCGATCAGGTTGATGGTGAAGCCGAACTTCTTCAGCAGCACCGTCAGATCGTAGCTGGTGTCCACGTTCACGTTGCGGAAGCTGAACTTGTAGGTGACCTTGCTGGTGAGGGCATTGACCTTCATCTCGTCAATCTCGAAGTCGTTCATGCCATTCAGACGGAAGTGATCGATGCTGCCCTTGGCCTTAAAACCGCTCGTGTCGATGTCAATGTTCTTGTGGTCGATTCGGAGTGGGGCTAGTGGGGGAATGCCCAGGCCGGCAAAGCCGCAGGGCATCTGCTCCTGAATGCCGTAGATCATATCCTCAATGGTGCTGGAGATCGACTGGGAGTCTGATAGATCGACAAGGAAACGCAAATTAGGAATGATTTCAATAGAGATCAATAGAGACGCTGGCTCTTCACTCACCGATGGGCTCGCCCACGGACGCCGCGCTGGCGTAGGCAACGAATGCCAAGAGAGCCACGAAGATTTTCATTATTGCTGCTGACTTTTGAGTCCTACAAACTGATCGCAGTACGAACCGTATTTATACTACTCAATCGTCCGGACGGGCCCGCAGCTTTTTATAGACCCACGCCCAGGTGGTGTGTGATAAGGCCCTGCCCCCGCCTGCTGGTCTCGAGTACGATTTGATTAGCGATATTCGATCAATGCCTATTTGCTGTCTTATCTGGCTCTGCTTCTGGGCTGTGGGGCATGGCTATGGCTCCTCGATCCATTGGAGAATTTTTAATTTCGATGATTATTTATATTAATCAGGGCACTTAGCCCGAGGAAATAATGATCAGATCTCTAGATGGCATAAAACTCTCTAATGAAACTTTCCAAAGGTCCCTTTGGAGAATTGTGATTTCCTTGTCTTGCCATTGGCTTGCCCTTTTGGTTAACCATTTTAACCTTGAATAGGGTTAAAATTAGGCCAATAGAAATTCATATGTAAATGGATAATTTAATAGCATGAAAACAATCCTATCCAGTCCGGAAGAAATCTCTTCAACTGAGAATATTGTGTATTGTTGATTCCGAACGATTCATTTCTCTGTAATGTTCGGCCAGCTGCCACTTACTAGTTAGACTTATCTATATTTTGATGTAAAACGATTACAAATCGAACAAAGGTTGGAGATAATATTGTAGCAAAGGAAACTCTTCTCTCCCCTGGTCCCCTAGTGAACATTCACCGAAAGATGGGAAATAATTTCCCATAAACGAATTGACACAGAAAAGAGAGCATTCTCCATGATAACAGATCGGATGTGTGGCTATATTATATTGAATTTTGTATTGATTGAAATGGAAAAATCAGCTGTTATTTGCCAGTCACATGAGAACGTGGAATGGACCATTCCCAGTAGACCGAGGATGGAATGAATAGAATGAAATGGAATTATGGAGTTAGCCGGATGTCGATCCACTGAAATCGATCAACATGGAGGTTTTATTTTCGGAATCGAGCACAAAAAATGCCAGTGGCTTGGCTTAATATAATCCACGTACTTCCCTGGATCTTAACTCTGCGAATTGTTTGTTGTTTGATTAATAATCATAAAATGTTCGAGTGTGATTTATGGCCGATGGACTTGATTGGTTTATTTAAGAGACTTAGCAAGAGGATTATTAATAGAACGTTATGGAGGACAACAGACAGCAGGTGGACTGTCGAATTCCCTGTAGGAAAATGGTAAAGGGTATACAAATACCTACTGGCATGCTGGGATTTGTCGGACGCAAACTCTACCTTTATAGACTTTGTGTGGCAATGCCGGCACCAAGGAGGTGTAAAGTCGAGAAGACCCGCAGCACCTTTGTGTGTGCACAGAATGTACCCCCATTCGAGCTGGGAGTGAGGACTGATTAGATCGGTCGGTAATCCGTGGACACCTGCATGAAGTCGTCGTCTGACGCAGTTTTCGGTAGCCAAAGCCAAAGCCAACGACAACACCAAAGCCATTTAACTATGTCGCAATGATAGGCCATATATATTCCCCATTTGAAGCGATATTGACACTCGATTGGCCAATTGGGAGATTGGGCCAAAAACAAGCCACTTGTGTGGCATGCTGCTCGGGCAAGTACCTCCCCGTAGAATGGTTGGATGGATGTTCTGTGCTCTAAATCGGGAGCGTATCGTGAAATCCGATCGATTCCGGCAATAGCCGACTAATCAGGGGTCGTGATTAGGATTTAGCTGTCTAACTTAAGTAGTCGAACCCCCGTCTGGGCCCCGTCCCCCTAGGCTTGTGTGGGTATAAAAGGCAGGCCCAGGTGGTGTCATTCAACAGCTGGCTACACCATGAAAGCTTTCGCCTATACTTTTGTGGCCCTTTTGGCCTGCGTCGCGGCCTACGATGTGGAGCTCTTGAGCGAGCAGGAATGGGACCGTCTGGTCGAGCGCAATCGTAAGTGTCCTCCTAGGCTGTTGACTTTAGAATCTGAAGAGACTTGTAGAGACTCTCTCTTGTGACTCATATTGCCACAGCTGCGAAGCCCGACACCCAGGGCCTGATTCTGAACGGATCGGTCAAGAAGGCCATCAAGGGGATGCTCAACCAGATGCCCTGCGGCTGGCCCGAGTACGGTATCCCTCCCCTGGCACCCTACACCAATGCCGATCTGCAGATCCATCTGGCCGAGTCTGTTGTTGAGTAAGTCAGCGTTTGAGCATTGGGATTGGGATTGGGATTGAGATTGGGAAACGGAAACTAACTCCGTCTTGAACTCTAGCACGCTGTTGCAGTTTTTGCGCTTCCGATTCGATGGCTTGGAGGACATGGAGATCAAGAAGCTGAAGGTCAGCTACACCTTCAACAAGAAGGTGCAGTTCCACTTCAACTTCAAGCATCTGAAGGCCAGCGCCCACTTCCTGAACACCGACACCTTCGTGGACTTGCTCAGGCAGCTGGGTCTGAGCGTGCGCTACGAGAGCACCGCCCCCATGTCCTTTGCGCTGGAGAATCTGTCCATCCAGGGCCAGTTCAAGTACAAGATGCCCTTCCTGTTCGGATCCATCAAGATCTCCAAGTTCCAGTGCACCATCGGACTGGGCGGCGTGTCCTCCAACATTGGCGGCGTCATGGGAAACGGCAGGATCAACGAATTCATCAACGACATGATCGACTACGAGGTGCCCGCGTTCATTAACGGCCAGCAGGAGGCCATCAGCAAGCATATCGAGGAGATATTCGTGCCCATGATCAACCAGAAGCTCAAGGGCCACAAGGTCTGGTATCTGCTCTCGATGCTGTCCATGGTGTCCGGCACCTGCAACCCCACTCCGGCCCCCTGGCTGGCCGTCGAGTCGAGGCAGACCTAAACCTAAACGAGCTCTAAACAGTAAACACCAGCAAATAAAAAGCAATTCAACTTACCCCACGACCATGACCACGATCTACGTTTTAATTAGCGAATTTCTCTGCCCCATTATCTCCCTGGCCATCCGCTGCCTCTCCGTTATCCTCTTATCGCCCCGGATTTCGGTTATTGATTGGATCGGGTATAAAAGGCCCTCGTTGGCGGTTAGGCGCTTCAGTAAGCAGTTACTAACAGCCACAGCCACAGCCACAATCAACATGCGTTTCCTGGTAGTCTTGGCCTGCCTGGTGGCAGTCTGTGCCGCCGGCACCCTGCCCAATCGGGTGGAGCAGCGTCTGCTCGAGTTGGCCGACCAGAATGGCGACATTGACCTTTTCGCCGAGCCCGAGGAGGGTGTGGAAGGTAAGACTCCTCCACTCGAGCCCCCCCACTTCCCCATCTCAGAAAACTAAATAAATGTGAAAATCCCATTCTATGCAGTTGCCCCCCAATTCATTCTGTCGTGGCAAGCACGCCGCTTCATCCGCAAGCTGCAGAAGAATATGGAATGCGGATGGCCGCAGTACGGCATCCCCGTGCTGGCCCCACTCCGCATCAACGAGTTCGACCTGGACTTCAAGCGTGGCATCTTCGAGACCCTTAACAACGTGTTCCACCTGAAGATCGCCGGCCTAGACGACTTTAAGATCAGCAAGTTCAAGCTGAACATCATCACCAGCAAGGTGAAATTCGACTTCCTGTTCAAGAACATCGACACCACCGCCGAGAAGTACAGCACTGACACCCTGATCGACGCCCTGCGCCAGCTGGGTCTGTCCGTCGAGTACGAGGGCACCGGAGACCTGCTCTTTGACCTGAAAAACCTCCGCATTGCCGGCACCCTCAAGTACAAGCTGCCCATGCTCTGGGGTTCCGCTAAGATCACCTCGCTGAAGACCACAATCTCGCTGGAGTCCGTGGAGTCGGACATTAGCGGGTTTATGGGCCACGGCAAGATCAACCGCGCCATCAACCGCCAGCTGGAGAATGTGGTGGTCAAGGCCATCAACGACAACCAGCAGGCCATATCCGACACCATCGAGGACACCCTCGTGCCACGCGTGAACAAGATGCTCAAGGGCAAGGACTTCTGGACCATTGTCGACCTGATCCTCTCCAGCAGCGATGGCGTGCAGGAGGACGATCCGATTGTCGTCGACTGTGACCCCCAAGCCGATCCCTGGGCCTAGGCTCATCATACTAGCACTTTCAATAAAAGCTTTGTCGATATACTGAATCCTTATGGCTGTGCTCCCCACTGATCGCTCCCATTGCTCCTATTGGGAATTGCCGATAGTCGAAAAAACAAAATACATTTCGTGTGCATGACGATGGGATTGCTGTTCGACTCGAGAGCGCGATCGAGGCTCGGTCGGATGGGTGTGTGAGAATCGGATGGTCTTGAGTTTTCCTATCTTTGGAACACCTGCAGCTAATCCAATCTTATCGATGCCCCAGCGCTACTTAAGGGGGTAATCGGTTTTGCTGATTGGAGCGTTGGTTGGGTCTGGCTACTGGCTGATTCAGTGGCTGAATCAGTAGCTCGCTAGTTCTGCAGTTCAGTATTCGCTTTCATCATGAGAACTTTGTGTGTGATATTTGTGACCCTCCTCTGCTGCTCCTTGGGCTCCTCGAAGCTCTTCGATGATCAGCTTCGAGAGCTGACGGAGTTCCTGCGCCTGCAGATGCGTTGCGGCTATCCGGCACGGGGTGTGCCGGTGCTGGCCCCCGCCCAGATAGCCTACCAGGAGGTGGCCCTTGCCACGCAGAGCCTTGGGTAAAATTCGACTGTGACTGATCAGGGGAATCGCGAATACATGTGTAACCAAAAAACCTTTTGCCGTGCAGGTGCCGGGGGAACTTCACGGAACTCACTCTGGAGGGTCTCGATGGCTACGAGTTCGCGAAGCTCGAGTGGAACAACATTCTGCACACCATCAAGTTCGACATCAACTTCCCGCGGGTTTCCGTGCGCAGCTCCAAGTACATGCTCGACATTCTGGCCCGGCTCTTCGGCTCCGACTTCGCCCTGTGGGGCGACGGTGTCTTCAGCCTGGAGCTGATCGACTTCCGCGCCTATGGCAGCTTCATTATCCGTCCGACGACATCCACCAGCGGAGTGTACGTGAAGAGCTGGAAGGTGAACTGGCAGCTGGGCGAGGCCCGGTCCCAGACCACGGG